ATTTTGTGTGTCTGTATATCTATCCAGAACTCTTAAAAGTTTAATTTTCACCTGGTTTACTTTCACAAAAAATCGTCTTTTAGGAGCCTTTTGCTTTCTAGTTATTAATTGAATAATCTAAAAAAAATAATCAACTGAGTAATCAATTTGTAAAATAATCACTAGTTGCAGCCCTAAAATAAAGAAAAAAGGGTCGAATGTGAAAGCCAGCCATATACAAAGAAGGATTATGATAATTGAGCAATATTACTAGTAGCAGTATACAATTATTGCTACTAATAACTAATAATAATGAAAGGTGGAAAAATGAAAATATACAGTATGCATTACAATATCCTGAAAGATCGACACATGAAGGGACAGTAACAGGCACATATGATAATAAAGTGAAACACAATGGCTGAAAATAGCAGCTGCAAAAAGATGATTAATGGCAATTTGTAAGTGAAGCAGTTTTTTTGTGTATCCAAATTTAATTTAAGGAATGATGATATTGGATTAATCTGGTGATTGAGAGATTTATACAAAAAGCATTCACACTTCTAGATAGATCATTTCTGAATCTCCTTGTTGTTGGAAACCTTGTATTTACCGTCTTCCTTTAAGATCACTATTCGTAAGGCCTTATAACTTTTCTGTATATGTTATCTGCTACTGCAGTCCTGAAATGTCTGAAAATGTCAGAAAATGTTGCTACGCTTATTTTGTCTTTGTATAGTTAGTTCTTCAATTATAATTATTTATTTTTTTTGTTTTAGACTTGTAACAGCATTTCTCTCCAGGGTAGATTGAAACTTTTCATTTGCATGACTGTTTCTAAAATATATGGTTTGATTGCTAAAATTCAAGAAGGATCTTTCCATTGATTATTGAGAAGAGTTTAGATGATTTTTCTGATGATTTAAAATGCAAATAGAACTATAAAACTTTTTTTCTTTAAAGTTATACTCCCTTTTGTTTATTGTATAGGATAAGATCATTTAATACCAAATATAGAGGCTAAATTATCTAACCTAAAATTTTAACACATTTTTTTTTTACTTTTTTGGAATCAATTCTTCTGAGAATTTTCAAATGGCTGATATTTATCCCAAATACTGCATCCCAATGCAAATTATATAAATTTTTTGTCTGTTTTCTTTTAAGATCCAATTTTTGACACATTTCTTTCATTTAATATGATGTTTCTGTTTTTTTGACAAATCAGATACATAGTTTGAAATATTGTTATTGGCATTTTTTCTACCTCCTTCTTACCACTAAAAAGAAAACATTTCGATTTTTTTCCCCTTTATGTTTTATTTCTTACCTTTTTATACAATGTAATCATGCCCTCAAAGATCCCCTTTAATGCTTAAATAACTGGGCAGTGTATTTTGTGTTAAAGAATGAAGGGCGTGGCTTTGAGAGTAGATGTAGATCTGTCCATGGGGCCTTTATGGCAAACCATTTTGACATTTATCAGAAGCGCTGTCCTCCCTTACATTCTTTCTGATCAAAACTACATTCCTACCACTCATAACTATATATATAGAATCCTAAATTACATGTTTTCCAGCAAAAAGGAAACATTAAACATAGATTGCATCAATAATCATTTCCGTACATGTGGTAATTTGTAATTTAGCAAGACTGTTAATTATGGACATCCACAACTTTATTGTTCCTAGTAGAACTGCAGCTGTAGATATCTTTAATTACACTTTTACGGGTAAAAATATATTTTAGATATCAGAAATAATACCGTAGATCAGGGGTGATTCTAGGACCAGAGGTTTAGAGGTGCTGAGTACCCAGGGAATTGTCTGGATGGACAACATACATTTCACTGTTTTCTACATACATTTTCAACACATCTTATCTGAGACTTTAGTGTTTTTCTTTCTGTGTTTTTGTCTTGTTGGACTTTTCCTGACCTTATATCTTGCTGCTCTCCTT